CTGTCCCTTACAAGGTTTTAAACCTTGCAAAATTTCATCAAATAAATTCATGTATCTTACCATTCTTTCTCTTTTCAAAAAATTCATGGCTTTACCACTTTAATTTACGTCTCCTAAATCATATCAGATAAATAACTGGAACCTTTTGTTCATGAAAACACAACTCAACATGTCACTCCTTTCCAGTTCCACACACTAACCATCATGTTGGCTTTACCGTAATGATATAAAATCTCACAATTATAACTTTTCAATAATTTCATCAACCATGCATAAATAAATTTTCAGTTTATACAACTAAATTTTAAACCACGAACTAGATACCATTCTGCTACCACCTATAACTTCCTTGATGCCTAAGCAATCACTCATTTCATTACTCTCTAAGAAAAATCATGTCCAATCTCATCTTGCCCTAATACTTAAAAGAAACTAAAACCTTTATCCTCGGTTAAAGAAAACATTACTGAATGGGGAATGCCAATGGAAGATGTAAAAAAGCTTTATGATGAACACCATCTGATGGTTGTAAACAAACAACTCCTAGTACATGATGACATATTTGTTTGTAAGATGGCACTGGACGAAGGGAGTCTTTAACTGCAAAAGACATTAATTGAGAAGTACAACTCTATGATCACCAAAAAGAAGATGATGGAAGAAGTGAATAATAAAATTAATCTTTCAAAATATATTGATGTGTTCACTTGAAGGCATTCTGATTTTCCAATTCTTAAAATCAGATGCACCAAACATAAGGAACAAAAGATGCTTCTAGTGCATCTGACTAGAAGAGATGATTTTGTAGAATACCCTGAGAGAGTAATTGTAACATATCTTGTTAATTATGGGTACATCGAGTGGATTAAGTTGGGTAATAGTCAAAAGGGCATAAATGGATTCATTCTTAGGAGCTTAGGATGATATTAGATTTAATGATCAACAAGGCTCAAAACTTAAACCTTGTTATAGTTGATACTTATTACTTTTCATGCTAGTGCAAGCTCATCGGCTACTTTTCCAAGAAAAAAGGAGAAGAGTTAAAGAAAAACATGCTAACAATTTGCTTCCATTTGGATCTTTCATGATTAACAACTCTCGTCCAATGTGTGTTAAAGCTGAAGAGTACATGTTAATTCATGAGCCTGTAGATGGTATGTTCTATAGAGATGTGAATAAAGTCATGTGCTTCATAAGAATAGATGAGATTCCTAATGATCTAACATCACATATGTTTTAAATTTTATCTGAGAGAAGGGTGTAGAGCATAAGAAGTCATTGAAGGTTTTCATTACCTTTTGTCCTTTAAATTGGACAATAGAAAGGAGGAGTTGAAGCCTATTGATTACAAAGTGTATCAAACTTGAAACTATCAACGAAACTGAGAAGTTAGAGCCTGGGAAAGTAATGTGGTGGGGTGATAAGTTATTTTTAAAGTATGTTTTGACATCATCAAATTATGGAAAATTGTTAGATCGAACCTATGAATTTGATGAATGTCAAAGTACTTTGATGACATATTACTTCAGTGTATACTTATGTTATGAAGTTATTCTTAAAGCACCAGCATGAGTATTTCTTTTGCTGCAATCCCAAATATGAAGTATTAGTGATTAGGATCAAATTATATAATTTTTCTTTGATTTGTGTGGATTTGTTTATATCTTTTAGGTTAGTATATGTGTTATGGTATGGTTTGTTATTTTGGATGTACAAATTGACTGTAATCAAAAACCTCCGTGTGAGAAATATATTTCTTAATCATAATAAGTGTTTGATTAAGCTTTGTGATTTTTTGAGTAGTTATTAATTGTTATTTGAAATTATGTGTTTGTGCGATCCAGCACCTACTTAGCAAAACTATTTCTTCATTTTTCAAGCTTTTTAAGATGTTGACATATAAGAGTTTCAGGAAGAAGTAGTCCACCACCACCAAGAATGGAAATTAATGCATTATTTGTAATAAGGCTAGTAGGTATGTGAGGACCCTCATTAAAGGATCTCTATATATGTTTATCCTTTTTAATTTGTTTTCCATTAAGTTTTTCAGTGTTCATATTCTTCCACTGTCAGTATAGGAGATCTAGTAGAACATCATACATTTTTAGAGATGTTTATAGAATACATGGCTTGTAAATTATGACTAGACAATTTTTAAAGATTTTAAACAATAATGGTGTATATAAAGAGTTCTTTCTTTTCTCCTCTAGAAATACATGAAACCATGGTTTCTTACAACTATAATTTAGAGTTTGAAATACAAAACAATCGTTTATGATCTAATACCAATTAATTAACATAAAATATATTAGAATAGTTGTGCAGAATATTATTGACAGAATTTATTGTTGGATTAAGGTGTCTAAGCTCATAACTAAATTGGTATATACTTGTAATTAAAAGCAGAGTCATTTTTGGATTGCCCTCATAACCAGAAGTAACTAGAAATTATATTAGGGGATAGAGGAAATGATTTGTTAATATATTATATGATTAATATATTAATCATATTTAAATGGAATTAATTACTAGATTAATTAGAATTAATTAAATGTCCAATAGTTGAATTGTAATTGTTTTTAATTGAGGAAGGAAGGAGAATTCTAGAACCCATATAGGGGTGTACGGTTTTTGAAGGGTTCCGGAAGTTTTCTGGAAGCATTCTTAACTGATAAGGATTACCATATTTGAATAGATAAAATAGTATTATTTTATTATTGAAATCTAGGGTTTCCCTTATGTCATCTACATTATAAATAGGACCCCAAGGAATGGAATTTTCATCCATGCTCTTCCCAAGAGGCTCATAGCCGAAATTCATCCTTTATCCTCTCTTTCCTATTCATTTTACAGTTTCTAGGGCTTTGGTGTGATCCATTAGAGGCATCATACTTTTTGTGCTTGCTTTCTGAAGACTAAAAGGAAAGGATTCAAAGAGTATTGTTTGATATAACAATACAAAGGTATGTAATCCTAATCTTATGATTTTCGAATATAACTAGGGTTCTTGTGTTTCATAGTATGTTGTTATTAATTGTAAAGACATAGATCCTTAGGTTGCATGGACCCTTAATTGTTAAGAGAAATTTCGCAAGTACAATAATTTTGTAACCTAAAAATTCAATCATCAACAACATTATGAACTAAGAACATATGAAAAATATGAAAAATAAAAGCAATATGCAGTAGATCAGTAGTATTATCCAAAAGTGTAACACATACAAACTCTTAGAAAATCTCACACATATTACACTATGAGAGTTGATTGTTTATAAGGGAATATTCATGGGATCTAGGGGACATTTAGTATAAAATTAATATCAAATAAGATTTCCATAAGATCTCTTCCCTAATGCAATGTGAATTATTAAAAATGATACAAAAGACTTCTCTTAGGATACATATTAGATCACCACCACTTTGAACATATAACTTGTTGGGTTATGAGGGATCTTTGGCCATAAAAGTGCACAGTATAAGCAATAAACACATTTAACCTCATAAATCAAAAGACGAATCAAAGGTTCAAACAGTTCTAATTCAATAAAACATAAACAGAAGAAAAAAAAAACATACCCTTGTAGTCCTTTGAAAGCTTTGTAGATTTAGACGGAGAGAGGATTGTTAAGACTCCAAAGTGAAACTCTTATGTCGTAGTCGCACCCAAGAAACATATCAACAACCATGACATCTCTAGATCTGATGAACACACTAAAGACCAAAACCCGAATATGGAATCGCCGCCTATGCACTGTGTAGCATTGGTTACGCGTCATGTAATGAATTTACCCGCCGCGTAGGTGTGACTACGCATTGTGTAGCAGGCAAAAATCGAGGAGAGGGGAGAAGCTAGAGCAAGCACTGAAATTATGGCTAAAAGATCGGTCTAAATTTGGTTATGTGCTTCTCTATTTATAGGGGAAGCTTAGGAACTCTTATGGGATAATTACTTGGTCATTAAGTAATTATCCATAATTTTGGTAATTATCCTAAAAATCTCACTTTCAAATCTTTATACTTAAAACCTTTAAATCTACAAGTTTCTCATAAATTAATTAAACCGTCAATTACTTAACAAACTAAAGTCCAACAAAACCCTTATGTCATTTGTTGCAAAAATTTGCCATTGCATGTAACCCAGAAAGATTTTACAATTAATAGTAATATTATCAACTGTTGTCATTATAGTGTTCGAATTGTTCATCACTGCAAAAGACTTAACTTCTGTTGAGTGTTACTTTTGGGTTCCAAGAAATACTTTCTCTATTCTTTTTGTCTAATTAGATAACGAACATTTGGAATCCATTATAAATGTGATCAACGTGTGATTTAAACAGGTTGCTATCAATATATTCAACATGATCTCGTACTACCACCTTAAAAATTCTACTAAGAACATTTTAATATAATACATATTTCCATTTTAATATGAAAATAATATAATTAATTTGAATATATTAAATCAATCTGATACAATAAGTTAATATATATATATATATATATATATATATATATATATATATATATATATATATAACCCTCATAATTGATATGATTGTATATTGGATACATTTAATTTGTATTCATGGTATAAAAGAATAAAGACTCCGATATGTCTATGAATGATTAGTTGCTTTCTAACTCATTATTGTTGATGCTATGTGGGGAACGGTTGCACCCCACATGACTATAACTTGGCCATGTACATTCCATTAAAATTTTGGAATTAAGTTCGCATAGGTATATGTGCAATAAATATTTTTCTTTTCTAATATCGTGTGTTTGAAATGGTAAATCTAACTTTTGTATTTTATCCACAAATTAATTTCACAATAACGACAAGTCACTAAAATGTCAAAATAGAAATGGGGAATATCTTCCATCACTCATACCCAACAACACTATCGTTTCTTATACAAGTTGGTAGATATTTTGATTTTGAATTAACCGATAATGATTTAAGTCATTGAAATGAAGTAATGATGAGATGGGCAGGTGCATAAGGAACACAAACATATTTTAATAGTAGGAAGTATGTACATATCAATCATGTTATCCTCAAACTGTGTGGTCCCACATACAAAATGGCATGGGGGAAGACACAATATAGGCATATCATGACTCATGACTAAACTTAGATTCTAAAAGCAAACCATCAAAATCCAAATAAATTAAACCAAAAGAAAAACACCAACACAAATACAAAACCAATTCCCACATTGTCCCCCTCCCATTCCTACATCAAATCTTCACTTTAATCCAACCAAATCATTCCCTTCCCATCTCCTCCCATCAATCTCACATTTCCCTACTTATACCCATATGAAGGGTAATTTGGTAATTTCACCATCTGGGATGGTGTGCTTCATGCGGGCGATGGGGTATGATGGTGGCTCGTGGGAGGAATGGATTGTTTTGCTTTTGGTGGTTGGCGGTCATCGATCCATGATGGAGGGCTTTAGGGAGGCCAGTTGAACCGACTGCAGATGATGTGGCGGCCGCAGATGAGGATGATGATGATGATGATACCGCTACACGCTCGCATTGAGGGCACATTGTCAATGTTGTCGGAGGATTCATGTTCATGTAAAATTGTGGAGACAATTTAAGAGCTCTTAGCTCGTTGACTTCCTTTTGCAAACGTCTGTTTTCCTCCGTTAACGTATCACAACAACGCTTTAAATACTCACAATCGACCTCGGTCTGCTTCAACTTCGTTCTACAAAAATTCGGTCATATATCTAAATATAACATTATTAAAAAAAAAATAATAATAATAAATAAGGTATAATTTCCATGAATTTGATGAAACTAATAATAAAAAGAAAATTTTGGCATCGAGGTCAAATCTACCAATGTAAAAATGTCAAAGTTGTCATTATTTGGGATGAGGCACTAATTTCTTGAAAAGATAAACTCATCGGTACTAAATGAGTTGACTTTATATCACAATTTATTTGGTCTATGACTAATAAAGACATCATATTAATGACATTTCACACCTTTTATTGGCAACAAACTGTAAATAGCAAAAACCCACCAATATTGTTCAACTAAATGTACAAACTCATGATGCATGTACTACATATCCCCATGATGTGAGGGTACCAATGTACTTGTAGTCGATTACTCAATTCTATCCACTTGTATCACATGCATCGATGGATGTACTTAATATGAGATTTTAAGCTTAAATAATAATAACATCATCAAAACACTTTAGAGTCACTAAGGTACAACTCTTAATGCATGAGTAGTACTTGTCAATAATACTACTACAGTCTTAAGAGAAAAAGTGGTTAGTTTAGGAGTACTATATGGATTAATGATGGTACCATATAACGACAACCTAAACATTGTTCATTTCCGAAAATACCCTCAAGGAAAGATTAATTCCTTACCTAGCCCTTCTGTTTTGAAACCATACTTCCACCTGCCTTGGCCTCAGATCCAGCTGTTTTGCTAAGGCTAGTTTTTGCTTCTAATAAAATTCAAAAAAAAAAAATCAGAAGAACAGCTCAACAGCACGGACTACATTTAATTAAAATGCCCTTGATGTTGAATTAAATTACAAAACATGCCACTAACCGGATTGAGAGTGTTGTGCTCCTTGAATGTTTCTTCGAGCACGGCCGCCTGATCCTTTGATAGCCGGAGCTTCTTCCTCGCCGCCGATGCTTCTCCACCGTCGTCGTCATCATCACCACTGATCCCGTGCGAGCTTGATTCTCGCTCCGCCTCATTCTCCTCACGCTCGACTCTCTTCCCACTCACGCTCGACACCGTGCTGTTCGGGGAGGAAACCAATGCTTCGTCGTCGCGCTCCGCCGTTAACGCCACCAGAGTTGACGTCGACGGGAGCCGGTTAACGTCTATTCCTCCTCGTGAGTAAGATCTCGTTTCCGCATTCAGATCTGCAGTTCCGATTAAACAGCAAAAAACTCGTGAGACTTTTGGATTTGGTTGAATCTGTACGTGTACGCGTGCGTGTGTATGTGTGTATATGCGCGCCTTATCTCGGCATGTGTGTGTATCCACACACATTACGTGCATCGACGTGTTGTATTACATGCATCGAAATTTGTGCTTACACAGTTTCAAACCGCTTCACTAGAATCACGCAGTCACAACAAACAGTTTCGTTTTGCACTACATGCATTGAAACTTGTACTTACCAGGCGGAAGAACAGAAGAAGATGAAGGTGCAGCATGATTGATCATGAACGAAAGCTTCTGATGATTCGTCGCAACATGATGCCGTTGTTGAACAAATGACAAAGGAGTAGAAGGCAACAGATTCAACGGAAAACGTGTCGCAGTTGCAGTCGCACCGTTCGAACTGGCAACAACCGTCAGCGGCGGCGGTGGTGGCGGTGGATAATTTTCCGAGCATTTCAAACTCAAACTCAACCCCAAACCATCATCCTTTTCACCCATTTTCTCTCTCTAAAAAACTTTTCTCTCTGGAAATCGTTGATGGGATATGGCAGAGGGACAAAGTAGAGTGATTCTAAATGGGTTTTGGTTTTTTCACTGCCTTTTTATTTCCCTTTAGCTGATTCAGAGCTTAATTCACTGTGCACTGCTCAGAGAAACCATCAGCACCACCTATATGTCTACATATGTATATATACATACAAACATATATATCTATAGGATGAGAGAGAAATAAGGTGGTGATATGTGCAATCATGAAATGTGTCAGGGGTGGCTCTATTGGCACAATGATGATGATGGGATTGAGCTTTGGCTTTTGCTTCAGCTTTTGCATGGAAGAGAGAGAAAGAAAAGAGGAGAGAGAGTGAGATTGGTGTGAATCAGTAAAACTTTAAGTTGGTAAATGCTTTATACAAGCCAGTAAATTTTGTGTTTAAAAGATAGATGTATCAATGGTTGTACTATGTGCATTAAGTATTGTATGGTAATTTTGGTAGTGAGAATCTTGGATATTGAATACGGGTGATTTTGTTAACTGTGGTTGAGTTAGGTTGACTGAAGGATTGGTAAAGACTTTCCTTTTAGCTAGTGTAGTCACCATCCCCTTTCTTCCTAAATAAAAAAGATAAAAGAAAATTGAAAATACAAAAACAGACAATTTTCTCTTGTCTTAATTTGGAATTTTTTTAATTCGGTTATTTATATGTTTATCTATTGTTCTGAAATTAAACTATTAACTTTTACCAATAACGGTTTTAATAAGAAATAAATCATATTTTATTAATAAATAAATACTTCATTTTAGAAATGTTTTATCTACCATTAGAATTATCACAATCGTTGATTTTTCCGATCCATTGCTTCAAAATAGTTTTTACGTTATTACGTAGTTTAGTTTTTGGTAATTATAAAAATGTTTTAATTCAAACTAGAAAGGTTACCCCCGTTATGCGGGGGCCAGAAGCTTTCAATGTTGTTTCCGAATTTATAAATATGACAGACATAGAAAGTGCAAGGATGAAAAGTCTGGGCTTTGCCCCGGACAAAAAATGTAAAAAGTTTTGACTGCAAGGACCAGAAGTGTGAAAATGGCTAAAGAATTAAAGGGGTAGGAATTAGCAACTTTTTAGAAAAATGATCAAAGTTGTCAAACCGTTAAAGTTTTATGGCCAAACTTTAAATATTAAAAGGTTCCAAAAAAATGTAAAAATATTGATTGCAAGGACCAAAAGTGTCAAAATGGGTAAAGAATAATGACCAAAGTTGCCAAAAAACATCCAAATTTAGTATTCCTAACTTCCAACAATAATACAGGGACCAATTCTGCCAAAAAAATGGGAAGTTGAATGGAACACAAACAAAAGGACATGAATAAATTAATTAAAGAAGTACAGAGACCGGATATGTAAATCAAGGGACCAAACTTGGACAAAGTATCCTAAGTTTACTATTCCTTTCTTCCACAACTTTAATATATATATATAATAATCAGAATCGTTAGACTTTTCCAATCCAACATATTAAAATTGTTCTCAAATTTTACATGATAATAGTTATTATTAAACCAAATCTAAAAGTAACATGTTGAATAAAAAATATTGGAAAATGCAAAATATATTTTAGTTAGACAAATCTTCAAAAATTGTCTCTGGTTTTCTAAAAAAATCGAGTTCGGTCCTAAATTATTAAGTCATCAACCTTGGTCTAAATTGTTTCAAAAAAATTTAATGTTTGGTCGTTTTGGATAACCCCGTCAGATTGGAGAAGTTAACTTCCCTCACATGCTCTACACGTGAGGGTGTTTTCGTCAATTCAGTTGAGCTCCCTTCTTTATAAGCTTGCAACGACTTTAATTTCTAAACCATCTTCTTCCTCCTCTTCTTGAATTCTTCTTTCCTTGTGCTGAACTTAAGAAAAATGGTGGTTTGCAGATGTAGAGCTCAAGCAATCAAGGTGCAACATCTCAAAAATCAAGATAAAATTTTTATTTTTGAAACCAATCCAAAAACCATAAGTGTTTACAAATCATAGTTTCTAAAAATCATAACATGAATCAGAGTATCCCAAAATCATAATCTCATAAAAATCCATGATGATGTGCACGATTAAGTCTTCACATTGCCCCTGTCCTTTGAGGTACCTGAAACCATAACAATCAAAGTGTAAGCCATCGCTTAGTGATTTCCCATAAAGTACCACACACAACCAAACAGATAACAGCATGCATATATGACCCTTCAACCTTAATAGACTGTCTCGTAGGGCCTACAACCTATATGGACCACTCTTCGGGCCTCCGGCCTGACTGGACCGCCTCGCAGGGCCTACAGCCTATCCGGACCGCCCCGGGTATCTTGGCATTTGCACAAAGCAGGATCGTCTCAACCCAACCAAATTATAACATGTCGACATATACAGTAACATTCAATAGCCAACAAGTACATGTAGTCATACAAATCTATCAATATAACAGATCTCTACAACATAGCAACATCCTATATACCAGGATACGTAACACAACCTAGTGGTTCGGCATTGGTGCCTTCGACCCATGAGTACAATGAGGAAAACTCACCTCAATGTCTGAAAGATAGTTGATCTGAATGTTTCTCCAAATACCAGCTGTACGGGTCACCTGTACAACTCACAGGGGCCAAGACTCAATCTACTACTCAAAATATCCCAAATGACCTAAAGTCAAACAAGGTCAAAGTCAACGGTCAGAAGTCAAAAGTCAACTCTAGCTGGTAGCCATGTCATGGTCATCCTTGGCCACGTCGTGGCTGCTAAACGACAAAGCTGACGGGTTTCTACCCAGTCGTTACACCGTGGGGACTGGTCTGGACAGCTTAATCCATTAAGTCATTTTCCTATGACTCTAAGAGCTTCAAAGCTCAAATATGGCCCTTCCCATGATTTTGATGTTGGATTAGTGTCTAAGTCTGTAACTATATTTGGTATGTACTTGACCCGAGTGTGCATGGTCCTTTTGGGTTGCCTTCACCAAAGCAACTTGACAAGGTAATTTGATATGAGAGAGAAGATATTATGGTTTATTAATATATTATAAGAATAATATATTAAAGGATAAATCATATTTATTTAATTAGTATTAGTCATAAATTAATTAGGAATTAATTTGGTGACTAAAAGAGATTAATTAAATAAAGGGGTATAAACTGTCAAATGTGTGATAGTTGAGTTTTGGGCTGGGAAACCTTATGGACTAAGGGGGAACGAAATTATGTTGAGGGATCATCATATTTTCGTCCAAGGGCCTCATTCCAGAAGGTTCCTTGGGCTGCTTGGTGGCTAAGCTATCCATTAGGGTTTAGACTGAAACCCTAGCACCTTACAGTATAAATAGATGCCCTATGCTTCAATTTTAGGCCACTTGATTCCAAGGGAAACCCTAGGGCCGAAATTAGCATCCTTCCCCTCTCTCTCTTAATTGCCTTCTTGCTTCAAGGTGTTTGTGAGCCATTAGAGGCACTACAATTGTGGTGCTTGCTTTCAAGAGTTCAAGAGATCAAGGAAACTAGTTGTTATTGCAATATAACAACAAAGGTATGTCTTCTACACTTCTATATGATTTTCGAAAATTATAGAAGCATGCTAGGGTTATTTTGTGTTCATATAGTTGTATGTCTTATAGTGAAAACATAGATCCAATTAGGGTTGCATGCACACATAGGATTGTTTGTATAAAACCTATCAGTGGTATCAGAGCCTTTGGTTTTTGTTTTCAATTGGATTTGATACATATTATGAATTTGACAAATTAGGGTTTATGGCAAGTAAACCCTAAGGCTTGGTGATTTTCGCAAATTAGGGTTGCAAAACCCTAGTTGGCGATTTTGATAGGGTTCTTAAACCCTTTTGCCTAGCCTCCAAATTTCGAAATTAGGGTTATGAAACCCTAGGGATTTCGAAAATCCCTTGCCCCCCAAGACAAGATCCCAAAATTTTAGGGATTTGGATAATGCCATCTTTGTGATTATCAACTTAATTGTTTAAACTAGATAATTGAAGATCTTGAATTATCCTTTCCATAAATTTCGAAATCTAGGGGATAAAAAGGATTAGGATAAATTAATTGTTTAATTTTATGATAATCCTTCATGATTTAATAATTTAAATTAATTGTTTAATTTTGATAATTATTAAATCAAAGATTTTTGGTGTTTAAAATTTTAAATTAAATTGTCTAATTTTCGAAAATTTTAAATGCAACAAAGACACTAGTACTTTTAAAATGTTTAAAATACACCCTTATACAATTATGATATTATAAGATTAATTATTATATATATGTATAAGAATAAGCTAGTCTTATCGCTAGTAGGCCTCATTCACGAAGCCAGTCTATAAGGTGGGTATAAGGTTGCTGCCTATAAAATGGCGCTTAATGGATGTACACTCACATCTACCGCTTGCTTGACTGGTGGAGGGTCGTTAGCCGAACGGATAGGATAGGGCACTTAATTCCTCATTATAAGTATAATGGAAATATTAAAGTAACTACATTGTTTTACAAATTCCCACTCTTAGTTACTTTAGGGTAAAATGTGAAAATGATGCTATTCCATGGAATTACACTTTGTACCCCTGTCAAACGTTAGTGGAGCGTGCGTGGTTAACCAGCACACTAATTTGGGATTGACATTGGTGACAAAGGGTGGCTCGATGTCTTATCATAGATCAATGGAGCGTGCGTGGCTAACCAGCACATTGATTAGGTGATGAAGACATTGAGTGCACCATGATGATTCGCATGGTTATTCACAAACTTGTTTGCGATCCTCGGCATCCCAGTCGCAAATTTGAAGTGCATATCGAGATTTAAACATGCCATTGAAATGTTCAATGAATCTCAAAAGAAATCTAGGAATTTTCAAATACATTTAAAACTTAACCTCTTTCGTTTTTCATGGTGAAAATTAGTGAATCGTCATTCACTTACCTTCAAATTATTTACTTTTAGATTACGGCATCCCTTTTCTAAGTTGTAAATAATGTTGTTGGATCCTAGCCCTAATTTCTCATGTGGGTGTTTAATTAGGGATTCATTCTAATCAAACTTTGTTCCTTTCTATTTCAGATGTCAAACGCAAACGCAAACAACAACACTTCTGGGTCATTCTCGCTGATGAACCTGTGTCAAAAGGTGACATTTGATGGCTCGAACTTCAACGAGTGGATGAGATACATTCGCATGATAACTCGTTATGAGGACAAAGAATATGTCCTAGACGAGAAGCTTGAAAGGATCAACCCAGAAGAAGCTACTCCTGAAGAGATGGCCGCCTTTGAGGCCCACGAGCGTG